ACTCAGATTCCTCTGTACCCAGTAAATTCACGCCATATCCCACCCTTCAAACCGAAACACAGCCATGCAAACACAACTGCTTCACGGTTGAAACACGAATGGGACAGAGGTACCCAAGCAATCGACTTTTGTACAAAGTCTCCCTCTGGTAAATTAAAGTTAATTGTAGGTATGATTGGAATGAGTCAACAGACGAGGCGTGGCGAGAGTGATCTGTGGGCGTCTCAGATTTGGGCACGCCTTCGACTACGGGAATGTTTTGTAATAACGGGATTATTATATTAATTTTTATTAAGCTTTAATTGTAAAGATATTTATTATTATCTTTTTATAAAATTTTACATTATTTTTTTTTGTCTTCAGTAAAATGTTATTTCATTAGGCATTATTAAAAGCAAATCTCTGTTCCAATTGGTTATAGTACCTACTTAATTTTAGTCCAGACTTTGGGATTATCTACACTACATTCATCTTCAATTTTATGATCAGTATTCCTCGAGTAATATATAATAATGTAATTTGTGTAGGTATGAATTTTAAATTCAAAGATGGAAATATTTTTCTGGTGATTTTGGTAATCGCAAAATGAACTAGAATCATTACGAGTATTAATGACGAGTGAATGTACGAATACTAATAATTCTAGTAAATTATTTTCTTATTTGAATAATCTAAGATTTTATTATCGTATATAGAATCAATATATAGACACAGAATCTAGACGTGAGAAAATACGACCTCAAAAATGTGAACCATTTTGAATTGATGTAGATATCTATATAATAACATACACAAAAGATACCATAAAATTTAAAGCCTTCTTTTTAAAGTCACTTGAAAATGTAACGCAAATAAAACATAACTGTTACCTCCATTTGCAATTAATGCTAAACAGCTACTTTCGGAAAATTATGTAAATTAAGCAGATAAAGACAGGATGTTACGATATCCCCGACACATGTGTACCTGTATAGCAATTTCTTTAAACAGTGTTATGATATCACCTAATATTTTTTTTAATGCATAATAATGGAAAAGTAACCCGGCCTGCGCTAACGATATACGCTGGCGGGGCACCAGTGAGGGATGATAGGTGAGAATGACAAAGCAGGTCAGTTAGCCCATCGTGGTGAATACATCTGGAATTCATTACGATGGTTTCCAGAGGGAACCACGTGGACGTCGACCTGATAGGGTATATTGCTAGCAATGGGACTGGTAGTCCGCATTTCTAACAACCCCTTCCCCCCTATTACCCAATATTGTAAATGTATGTTAATGTTAGATTCTATTGTAGTTTCTTCTAGGATTTACCTAGGTATAGGTTCTGTCGATGTACTTCTACCTCAGGAAAATCATAATACCTACCTACATTTTCCATGATATTGGAATATCATCATTAGTAAATCCATGGATACAGATCCCATGTATTAATGGATTTACTGATGATTATTTTTTCGTAATATCCGATATAAATACCAATATCTGTACAGACGTATGTATATGCATGGATGTTTTTCTTATAGCATTCTGTTCTAATTACGTACCCTGTAAGAGGTTTGTTATGAGAAATATATATTATTAAATAAATAGTACATTATTTGTAGACGAAGATTTCAGAATTACAAATAATATTACATTTGAAACGAGTAACAGTTAAGCAAGTAAGTTTTATTATCTGTTATCGGCCGTGCCTAACTTCAATTTGTACGCTTTATGTGTTACATACCATTCGGGCAGCGATATAAAGTTGATTGCTGTACACTGAAATAATATTACAAGAGTATTGCAGGTAATTTAATTAAAAGGAAATCGCAATATTGTATGATGAATGTACAAAATATTCTCGTTACATATAGTTTAGGTTAAATGTATTAAATATGTATATTCAATAGCTTGATTGTTAAGTGCCAATAAATTATTAAGTCTAAAGGCAGGAACCATTACATGGGTGTCGGTCCGCGCAGTAATATAAATAACCTCATAAGATTTTTTACTTGTATCATTCTCAACGTATTTTCTTTACTAGTAAATAGCTACATTCGTTACATTACTAATTTAAGATATGGTCAATATTTGTACTAAATTTTATTTAAATCCATTCAAAGGTTACTCAAACATATTTACGTGTTATTTCATATTTATTTTGTTGTTATTTTGGGATCTGTTTTTGGATGTTTTCCGGAGCTGTTTTGATTAAAATCAACGTAGTTTTTTGATACTATTAAGGTAAATTAGATCGTATGTTTTGGAGTCAAGAGTTTTTTTTTTGTATTTTGTATTAACGATGTCCTAACTTTTCCCATTCACATCATTAACTTTATTATTATTATCTTTCAATTCATTATTTTTGCCAGTGATTGAATAAGTAAGATATTGGATATGTGCAACATAATCTAATGTTTTTTACCTGTTATATCTATTTTCGGCTTAGTTTAACTTCGTGGATAACCTGTTTATATTTTATTGTATCAGACTTTCAAATTTGGAATAGGTTTATGGAAATCGCAGGTCCTGTTAAAAACATAAAATGTAAATAAATGCCAAGTCTCGCAACACAGTTTTTCCACTATAAAACGTTGTGAGATCTCTTGTAAAACCAAATCAGTTTCATTTGTAGTTATCGTATCAATGTTAGACATAACCGTGATTCCAATCTATTGTTTGATATAATTAACACTTCTCATTATATTTTCGTGAAGCTGTCATGGTCAGTTGACGCCCATAACTATCGCACGAGACCCTCCTCTCACCTGCTCACTCCTCAAAAACATAAAAGTGCACCTCGTAGGGACTCTTTCTCTGCTACATCCTTCTAGAACTAAAATTGTTGGCTACCGCTGCATGCTAAAAATATATCAATACTTTTAGTAAACATTATATAGAATTATATTACTAAATTATTATATTTATTAATTATTTATTTATTTATTACTTTATTGTACACAAAAATTACATTGTTATAGTTTAAGTAAGAGTTCTCTACCAGCAAACTTTGAATGGAAAGGAACATTAATTAATTTTTATTAATTATCATTATCATTGTAATTACTTACCTTTCTATTCTCCACAGTCAGTGAAGCTGTAGACGTTCGATGAGACGGAGGTGATCTATATGACCTTAGAAATTTCTCTTCTATTCACGTGAATAATTATTATGCTTAGTTCATTGTATTGGGAGCCATGCCACCTGTATACATTATACAATTATATTACTATTATGTATTGTATTATTATTTTTCTTCTTTCTTGTTATGTATAGGTATGTAGTTTGTTTTATTATTTCTTTCTTTTAAGTTTTTAATAATCATTATTTTTCATTTATTGAAAATGAATAATGAAATTTAGGATGTTTTATTTTTTTCCTTCTTTTATAGGCTAAATACTAACCAAATTTCAAAATTTGACACTCACAGATCATCAAAATAGATTTTTGATAATCTGTGAGTGTCAGTGACAAAATTAAAGAACTTTGACTAGCGATAATTCGTAAACTAAAAGGCAGAACTATTGGATATATTGACAAATAGCTAGTTATAGTATGCCCTTTTGATCACTAAAAAACATCTTGCTTTGTCCACAATGAAGTTATAGGGAGGTCAAAATGTCGTGAGTCGCTTCGAGAAAAGTATGGTACAGCTGTGCTCGCCTTGACGAGGGCACTGCCGTGCCCCCTGACGAGAATAGACGAATAGGATCGATTTCTTATCAGTATTATGAACTACGAGACAAATAAATAAAACATTTTGTATATAGAATGTCGATTCATTTAAATTTTTTGTTGTGCCTTATCTAATCTCATATCTACCTGAAACAACAGAAAAAATCTTTTAAAATTGAATGAAATTAAACCCACTCTATCTAGAGGTCATCACACATGTTGCTTTAGTTCTGTAGTCAATAGTCACATTTCTTGTTTTGTCCATTATAAAATGACACCAAATGTATAACGTATTCTTAGTATTCACGTATAGGGTATGTTGAGTTGCTGAGGGTCAACAGGGCTGGTTTTAACGATATTAGTAGACTGTAGACTCGAGGTGACGACCCGAGTGTCGCATGCATTACAATAGGTAATGCCGGTGTGACGTCAGCCCTGTATTATTTCGTATTTAAATCGATTCAGCGAGAATTTACAGAATAAAACAAATTTATATTAAGCTGTAGATTAAAAATTTTAAATTAGAGACAATTTTTGCGCAAAGGATTTACATATTTAAGGATTTATTGGAATTATACAATATTTCCATAGATATATTGTTTGAAATACAAGAAAAATGAAGCCTTCCATACACGAATATCAAGTTACTATGTATGAGAAGCTTTATATATTTATGGTCGTTTTTCAGCTTATGTTTCTTTAATATGTATAATTCAATTACGCTGGTTCGCAAAAACACTGCTTTAAAACGATGCCAATGTTTGTATCTTAAATATCGCTGGAAATTTATTAAACATTTTTTGACGCTATCAAGAACAAGAATATTCTTTATTAACTACTTAAGCTGTTTACAGATTTTATCCCAGTTAATGCACTTTATAGTTGAGTATATTTGTCAATTGAAATCATTAATCATAACGGGTACAAATAATGATATTGTTACTTTAATAGTCGAAGTCCGTGGCAAGCGAGTGGTTTTTTTTATGGTTGAAAATGGTATAGTAACCCCGCCTGCGCTATCGGGATACGCTGGCGGAGCACCAGTGAAGGGTGATAGATGAGAATGAAAACAGGCCAGTTAGCCCATCATGATGCCCATCAGGAATTAACCATGATAGTTTCCAGGAGGAACCGCGAGGAGGTCGACATGGTTGGGTATATTGCTAGCAATGGGAATCTCAGTCTCCATTACTAACAATCCCTTTCCCTTTAACAAGCGAGTGGTTGAGAATTGCCGAAAATATATAAACGATTATCACGAAAAATATTTAAAATTAAGAGCTTCCTCGTTTTATAGTAAATCGAAAATAATCTTAACCATATTTTTTATTTATTGCAGGTGATAATGGGTGATCGAGCGGCTGCAGAACGAGCATGCAAGGATCCAAACCCCATCATAGATGGTAGGAAAGCAAACGTCAACCTCGCGATACTTGGAGCGAAGCCTAGAGGGAATCTAGCGCCAGGTAAGTTTGTTTTTTAATTCTTTTCTTTATAGCTAGAAGGTGCATCTTTGCTCAACTATATTATTTAATGATATTATGTCGTAGTATATATGTTTTTTAAATACGATTGTGTTCTAAAAAAAATCAACTTCAATTGTGGCACAACCAGTTATTTTAATTTAAAAACTAAAGTACTGAACTGATTTTGATAAAATTTCTATTACTAGGACTAATTTTTTAGATAAAAAAAAAAAATTCCCAATCGGTTTCTATCTGATGGAGTTATGAGATAACAATCATATAAAAATACAACCGAATTGAGAACTTCTTTATTTTTGAAGTTGGTTCCTAAAAAGTACTTAAGCGATGCAATAGTGAATCGCGCTCATGAGTAAGGGTTCCTATTGAATTCGAAACTAGACAGGCATCCCCAAATTAAAACGTGAGTAAAGCCGACATAAATCATTACAAAAAGTAACTATATAGCATTTTTTAATAGTAATATTTTTTATTACTGTTCATATAAGGACAGAGGATAATATTTTTGATCGTTCAGTGTAAGAATGGTTTTGTAGTGCACTAATTTGTCAATTATGTAATAATATTGAAATTTTGGAAATTTTGGAATCAACCGGATTTATTTTTTGTGACAAAATTGCATCCAACTTTTATTATGATTATTAAATTGATCAATTGCGTTTCAAAATCGAAATTAATTTTATTTTACCAGTAAAATTATAATCATAACGCTTTTGTCTTTTAGTTCGTACGCCTGGATTTCAAAAGCAGGAAACGTATCAAAATTAAGACATATACCAGTTTTAAGTTAGATTTTCAGGAACACAACTACGAAGGACGTACGCAATTTGGTACTATTGCGTAATGCTGGACAAACAGACAAAATTTCTAAAAAAATATTGTTTTGGCTTCTATTGTTCTCATTAAGGACCCCTCATATCAATTTTTCTTAAACATCTTCCATGTAGAGACATTATTCCGTTACAATTTTATTATATTAGTAACATACGAGACTTTTAGTAATAATAATATATAAAACAATATTAGAATACAAAAATAATAATAATAATACATTTAATATTATATTTTGGCTCATGCACACGTCTCATACATACGTCCTTGCGCAAACTTCCAATATTGTAGTAAACAAGTAGGTAGTAGGTATTCACTATTTGTAAATGTTTAGGAAACAAGAGTAAAGACGAGTGTAGGTTTAAATAATAAAATTTCCGTTTCTGTATTCCTCCTCCTTCTTATTCTTATATTAGGTGACTCCATTACAATCTACCATGTCTAAATTGTATTAAAATTGAATTCTTGTGAACTGAACGCGTCGTTGTTTACATTACGAAGGGATAACCGTGGATACTGTCGGCTGTCGACGAACACGGGAGCGAAGCTTATCTCTCAGCTGTTTGAAAAAGGAACATTTTTTGCTCGCCCCTACTTTTTAGGGTACCGAACGTATTAACCGGAAACCCTTACTGATTTTTTTACGTACAACTGTTTATTGTAAGAGTTTTTTTTATTATACATCTATGTATCTAAATCTTCTATTACGTGGTGAACAGAGGAAACTGATAATCAAAGGCTTCTATCTTCTCATTTTTTTAATGATTTTAAAAGTAGGCTGTTTTCAATTCGATTGTATTTTTTGTAACATAAAGCAATAATCATTGTATTTAACAAATCCTGTACGGATCTGTCAATAGTTTTTCCAATTTATGTGTCTTATTTTAATAAATTGCGATAGATTCGTTATTGGGGTTGATTCTGAGGTGCCATGTTTTCAAAGATATCATTGAAATTTAAACTTTAGTTTGATATCACAGCGAAATCTGTACTCTAATTACCAATATGAACTAAATTTAATTTATAGTAATAGATTTAAGTAAAAATTAATATAAATTTAGTTAATGATGACCCATAAAAAAGTAATTTCATGAAACCATCTTATTAAAGTATTAGGCTAAGAGATATATATGTTTAGAGAAATCATGGCATAAAGCCAGGCCCAATGTCAAAAAAAAATGTTAAATTATCAATATACCTATATCTTTTTTTATTCCACTGAGGTGGCAAACAAGCATGCGGCCCGACTGATAGTAGGTGATTAAGGTAGCCTATGAACATCTGCAATCTGCATCTATACATATTTTTGTAATTCTCAAAGAACAACATAAAATATAATGTTGGTTTAGTTAAATTCAGATGGGAAATATACTCTGACGGTATTTTTTATCGGAAGTTTAGATGGTTACATACTCGTAAATTGGGTTATTGTGTGAATTTTTTGTACTGAACCATTATTGCGTTGAGCATATTCGTATTCGTCACACTTTTTTTTTAATTCTTATTGTCATGACGTCGAACAAAAAATAGTGAGCTTCGCGTGTGATGGAATCAGTAAGTACACTGGGGGGTCAATACGTCTCACATGTGATCGCTGACAATCCATTTCATACAGACATGTAGACTAGCTTAAAAAATGCTTAATATTATATTAATAGTTCTTTGTAAAGAAATAACAATAATCGTGATAAGTTTTGTAGTTCACACATTACTCGTATTTCGTCACCGTTTCCGTTCCCGTAGGTGTCGTAAAAGGCGACTAAAGGAAGTCAATGGTCGAGAGGTAGGCAGCAGCGTCCCTTTTAAAACATCACCAAAGCCTAACCCGTCTGTCAAGCGTAGCAACTACTGGCAAAATGACATGATAGACATGAGCAGTACCATGGACATAACAGAATATACTATTTCACCCATGATACCCCCCATGCGTTGCCATTCCTGAATACTAAGGTGTTATGCCTCTGTACCCTGTCAATTCACTGTCATATCTCACCCTTCAAACCGTAACACAGCCATGCAAACACAACTGCTTTACGGTTGAAACAGAAAAGAGACAGAGGTACCCAAGCAAACGACTTTCGTATAAAGTCTCCCTCTGGTAACTGTCCTTGTAGTATAAAAAAAAAGAATTTAGGCTTACACGTTTGATGCAGTCGAAATAATAGAAATTATTTTTAATGTGCCGATATGTTTCTAATAAAATTAAGTAGGGTACCTACCTATTGATAACTGATGCGTGCAATAAATATTGTTATTGATAACAAATGATACGCATACTTAGTAGCTTGTGATAAGAGTCTATTTAATAGCTATCTCAAAGCATTTACCGCAATAATATGTACGTATGTATTGAATAGTTTTTTTTTTCTGTGAAAACTTAGATCTTATTTAGACATTTTTTTTTAGATTTTTTGTAGGTATCTGTATAATCCTCATATAAAAAATAAAAGAATGACTGATATTGTAAAATATGAAAATTGTAAACATGTTCGGATTTCATTTGATGTATACTCGTATTTGCATGTTTTTTTTTTCTTTTTTGTTATGATGAAAATGGAATGGCAAACCCTCTTGAGCTAATGGAATATACTGGCGGGGCATCATTGATGCCTTAAGGATACTAGAGGGAGACTTTGTACAAAAGTCGATTGCTTGGGTACCTCTGTCCCATTCGTGTTTCAACCGTAAAGTAGTTGTGTTTGCATTACTGTATTTCGGTTTGACGGGTGGGATATGGCGTGAATTTACAGGGTACAGAGGAATAACACCTCAGTCCTCAGGAATGGCAACGCATCAACGTCATCAACGCAGCAACGCAAGGGTATCATGGACGAAACAGTATACTCTGTTATGTCCATGGTACTGCTCATGTCTATAGGCGGCGGTTACCACTTTCCATTAGGTGGGCCGTCAGCTTGTTTGCCATTCTAAGTTGTATAAAAAAAAATACTTCACTGATGCCGCATCAGTAAAGTGATAGATGAGAATAAAAACAGGTCATGTAGGCCAACATAACAAAATTTACCACGATGGCTTGAGGGGGACCGCGTGTAGGTCGACCTGGTTAGATATATAATTCTTCCCTCCCCGTATTTGGATGTTAGACTTCATACACATTTGCACGGACTTTAATGAAACTGTTTTGTCCTTTCTTTCAAATGGAGATTTAAAACCGTAAAGTTGTATAAAAGAAAGACAAAATAATTCAATAACTCTAAAATGGTTTATGAGAGATGTCACATTTTTTATAATTAAGGTAGGTTACTAGTTAATAATTCTATACTACATGAATAGATTCTCATATAGTATTTGGAACTGTATGCAGCATTTTTTCATGGGTGAAAATGGAATGATGAGGGATGATATGTGAGGATGAAAGCAGGTTAGTTGGTCCATCATGATAAATTAAGCAATAATTAACTACGATGTTTTCCAGGCGGAACGTTATTGATGTTAGTACATTGCTAGAAATGGGGCTGTTAGGCCCCATTATTAACAATCCCTTTCCCCTCCACTGTATTCAGTACTTTATGATCTAGACAATTTACCGCTAATAAAATAAAAACAGGTGTTCACGCCGTGATTAGTGTCGGAAACGAGGCGAGCGTTCCTACCGGAAGTACCTAAACGTTCGGAAACGGAAGTGTTCGGTGGCCGGTACGCTCGCTAATTGATTGTGTAGTACACACGCACCGGCAACCCTTACTGGGTGACATATTGGATTTTGTTGCTTTAAATAATGGTCCTGGATACCTCAAGGGCTATTATGGTTATTATCTTATGGAGGACTAAGCATCATCTAATCTCAAACTAAATAGAGTTTGTACTGTAAATTCTATACTAGATAACTGACAGTCTTTACATGTATGTATAAAAAAAAACAATTTTTTTACATTGCACAGACCAACATAATTTTCTGTATAGGGTAGTATTCGAACCCACAACCATCAGATACCATCAAGTTCGTGAATATAAAAATGTATACAGATTTTTATATGTTATTATTCTGGTAAAATTTTATGATTCTGTGCACGTCAGTGAAGTTACAGGTAATGGTTAGTTATTTTATAACTTGCTTGGGTACCTCTGTCCCATTCGTGTTTCAACCGTAAAGCAGTTGTGTTTGCATTACTGTGTTTCTGTTTGAAGGG